GAACTGTTTGAAACTACAATTCTTATAATGTGCCTTAATATGGCTTAAAAGTAACATTCTTACCTGAAGACTACATGAGCAAAACTCTTCAGTGAGCAATAAGTATCTTACTCTTACACTTTCATTATCTAGAAACTTACAAAGTGGTATAAACACTAGCAATGTTATTAATGAGGTAATCTTTTCTAAGAACTCAAGAATCTAGAAACCCTAAATCTGACTCTTCACCTTCTATCTGTTCATGAAAGCTTATATGAAGCCACCCAACGCCCTTCAAATACAGATTTATTTATATATTCTTGTACAGTGAGAATTCAGAGGCAATAGACCAAATCACGTTTTCATTAAAAAAAGTTATTTTCCAGTAATTGCCTTCTGAATTGGAGGAAAAGCTCTGAATATTAATATTAGGTCCAGGACCTAAAATCTTCCACACCTTCTCTCCCTAGAGCCAGAACTTCAAAACTTAAGAGATCAGTTTCAGTGCTTTTGATTCACAATCAGCAAAAGGCCAATTCCCAAACAGAAAGGGCAATCCACAGTTAAGCACATCATCTGAGTCAGTTCAGCTATTTAGGCCAAAAAGGGAGTCATTAGGTATTATCTACCACTTCAACAGACTCCATCAACCTTGAAGATGAGTATTGGGATAAAGTATATTTCTTTTGATTCCTCACTCTCTAATCTTTAAGAAGGCATATTCTAGTAAAATAATTCACAGAACTGTGCCAGAGGAGAAGATACCCTTTGGCTCCTTGCTCACGGTGGAATTCTCCATCTGGAAAAATAAATATGTAAGAGCACACTATGGGTTTATGTGCTGGAGAAGAGGGATGGCATCTAGACAGGAAACAGGGTAAGTACCAGAACATCTGCAGACTCATTTATCTGGCCTAGGGCCTAATTCTAATTACCATGACTCAGGTCTAAGTCTAGGACTGTACATACAATATCTTTTCAAACATTCACATGTGATTAGATGACCCTGTATGTGATATCCTTGCAAACAAGATGGATAAATTATAGGATGAATGCTACGACAGAAGGTTGCTGATTAAATAATCAACGTTAATTCAGATAACTGCAACCGGAATAAAGAAGAGCTATGTCCTCCTGGCTCCAAAGAATTATGCCACACTCAGTGTTTTCTATTCATAATATATTTTTTTAAACTAGCTGTCAGCAAGTACTGATACCCTACCGGTGGGGATATTCACATGTGGGCTGAGCAATGCCCAATTACCAGTTTCAAAAGGGAATTACTATCTGGAGCAATTTTCTAGCATGAGTAGAATAAGGAAGACAAAAAATGTTTAATGGGGTATGCGTACATGTCTGTGCAGGAGGACAAAAATCCACCTACCCCAAGTGTCTTTTTTTCCCCTTTACCCAAAGTGCCTTTTAATAACATTTTCCAGTGCCAGAAATTTACTTGAGAATTGAAGCACTAGACAGGTATCATGAGGCTGTTTTTAACAATGACAATTTGGGTAAAAAGAGTCAAGACACTTTATCTAACAATCTCTTAGCTCTAGATAAAAAGCATAAAAGCAGGGATTTCACTGAAAGAGATTTTATCTGTTGTAACAAGCACCCTCTTCCTAACCAAGATGCTAATCAAGATGCTCCCCCTCCATCTCACTTCTTAAGTGTCTCCTTTGGGGAGAGAGGGGGGAGTTAACAGTGAAGTGTCAAAAGGTGCTATTTTCAAAAGATCTGGAATAAGGCAAAAAAGCAAGGAGAAATTATTTTGCCCAAAGTCATTCAACAAGACACTAATTTGAAAACACTGTCTTAATAAAGCAACTATCATCCAAATTCCAAAGGACTCTACACCCTAAGGAACCCATGAAGCTGTATCACTCTCATTCTCAAAGGTTTAGGAGTATGGACCTCCTTCTTCAAATGTTACAACCACTATCTTTAGACAATTGTTTTACAGGAACATTAGCTTTCAGAATCATCGGAAGAGCTCTTACCAAAAAAGTAACATAATGAATTAATGGGAAGATATTTTCTATCATTAATAACCAGCTAAGTCTTAATAAGTGAGCATCTCTTTTGCCAAAAAAAAACAACAAAAAGCAAAGAATAGAATTAACAGATTATCATTTTGTAAAAAAACACATTTCCTGAGTTTTTGATACTCCCCCAAGACATACACTCCACCTCCTAGTGCCTACAGAAAAGCAACTCTACTTTTAAACCCTGAGAGAGAATACTAATGATAAGAACTCAACTTATCTCAAATTGAAAAACCCTTCACTTATGAGTTGTTTTGTCATCTCAGGTTGGACTTCAAACATATCAAATACATGAAGATGCTAACAGTTCCACAAAAGGAGTACAATGCTCAGATAAAGTGACCTATCAAAATGCTATTTATAAAGAAAACAGAAGAAATTTTTTTCAGAAAAAAGACCTAGGCTAAAAGGCCACCATGTTATCATATTTGATTCTGAACTACCTATAATGCACGGAAAAGGATTACGGTATTCTACAACCAGGATTTAATATTTTCAACTGATACATACCAGGATCTGACAGTTGTCAGAGCAAAAACATTACAAAGGTTGCTCAAGTCCGGATTTTCACACAGCCTATATACTCTGATTACGAGTATTAATTCAAAAGCCTACTCTGTAGACGTAAAGGTGACTAACATACATGTCTGTCTTTTACTGTTGCTCATCATGATATTTATGGTAAGTACTTTTGTTAACAGTGACTTTCAGGACAATTTAGACACAGTTAGCTCTAATTCATTTGTGTTACTGCCCAGAATACTTTAAAGAAAATCTAAGCAAAACTGTGATCAATCTAGACACTGAATTCTGTATTTTTTAGTGACTTTATCACAAAGATTGAGCACAGATAGTATTTTAAGATATAGTCTCCCCTTAAAATTTAGAATCAAGAAAAAGCTGCATCAAATGCTTTATGTAGCAGACTAACTCTTGCTAATAAGCTAATTACAACATAACCAGCTGGCAAAGTATTAACAGTAATATCTACTTCTGTATATCACAAAAGTCAAAGAAAGATGATGCATAAAGCACACTTTTTAAAGCAAAACTTTTAACTGGAAGTTAGATATAAGCAACCAAAAGCAGGTTTGTAGCCTGCCAGATTTCCCATATTTGGATGAGGTCTAAGCGTCGTTCTACATTATCTGGAAGGCATACACACTTCACAAAGCTCTACAGCTACAAATCAAAGTGGACTGTGATAACTAAAGATGCTTCCATTTTATAAATTAACTCAAATGGTATAACACTTATTAAAGAAACAAAAACATCATAAACCATGTTTCACATGTCTCTTTTAATTGAGACGTGTGAAATATCAAAACTACAAAACCATATTGCCACTGAAGAGAGTAATAAAGCTGGATGTTAAGTCTTTTTTTGGAGTTTTTTTTTAAGAGTTGAGAATATCATGGTGTTAAATCTAAAATTTCAGTTAAAGCATTATTTTTAGCTGTAATAAAAATGCTATAGACAATTATGAATAGATACTGAAAACTTGGGGAATAATAAACAAAGCAGAATTCATGGTTACCATATTTACACATACTCTTTGTTGTGTTTCAGTGCCACATGATCTGATTCAAAGTAATAAACATCGGGATCATCATCTTCCTCTTCTGTAATGTGTGGATTGGCACTCTCTTTGGCGGATGGCAAATGTCCAGTACTGAGTCTTGCCTCTGATGATGGTTTACTTAGTCCTTCACTCCCAGAATTTTCAGAGTCACAACATATCCCTTTTTCATTCTGAGAAATTTCATCAGGATTTGAGAGAGACTCACTTATGGTATCACTAACAGTTGCCTTTGTTTCACTGGGGTTAAGATTCGTCTCCTCAAACTGTCCGTTTTCTCTGCAAGGAGAACTGGTTTTCGTGGGGCTGCCTCTGGGAGGGGCTGCCCTCCGTGGCGAAGCTCTCAGAGTGTACCGGTGCTCTTGCGGTTCTGACACAGACGTCATGTGAGCCGAAACACAGTCTAGGACAGAAGATGGCTCCGGTTCTCCGGACACGGGCATGCTCTCAAGACTTGAGTCCAGGGCGTTACTGGTGTTTTCATTACACTGCTCTTTTGAGGCACTGCTATCTCCCACCACATCTACTTCCTCCTCAGAATCCCTTAAAGATGAATGGATTTCAGAAAGGGGGCCTGCAGCTGGCTCAGCAGTCAGCTCGTTAACACGTTCCGCAGGCAGGCAGGCAGTTACTATTTTGTGGTCCTCCAACTTGACCTGCACTTCTGAATGTGTGCAAGGCACGTTATGGTCTATATAACTGTCCTCCTTCCTACTATCAAGGAACATTGAAGTGTGGGTATCCGAACCCCCATTTTCAGCTACTGATTTTTCCTGCAACACATAGGAACCAGTGCTATTTTGTTTAGTGTTCCCATCGGGCTGACAGTCACCACAGTTTATAACAGCTGAATCACTGACATCAACACCATTGACAGCCAAATAGCCTGTGATTTCTTCAACTACTGTAGAATTAAGTGGCCCTTCCTCACTGACATTCACCTTTTTAATTTCCCTTTTCTCACAATCATCCAGTATAAGACATCGACAAGCTCGTTTAGTCCCTTGAAAATCTGCATCATTGTCCACTACTGTACTCCTCTGTTCTACTGACTCCTTGTCTGATTTTATAGGTGAATCTTCTTCTGAACTGTTTGGTGCTTCAGATCTAAGACAACGCTTAATTCTTTTTAAAACTGGTGAAACAGGTTCTGTTTGCCTTCTCTCACAATTCTCTACAGCCTGCCTCTCTATGTTATCTTTTTCTGAAGAAGGAAGTCCTCTTTTCCTAGGGCTTACCCATGATTCTCGAGTACTTTGCTGTTTTATATCAGTAGTTCTTCCATTATTATTTCCTTTCTGAATTTGCACAGGCTCTGGTCTCTTCTTTGGTGATCTTGAACGCACTTGAGAATGAGCAGAGATTTCTTCAGGATGAGCAATGCTACGATTCCTTAAAGTTCTACCACAAAAAGATTCATCCAAGCCGTTTAACCCCACTGTTGATCTTGTAACACGAGTAGATCGGGAAGCAGCCATACTATGGCAAGTCCCTACAATACGGTCATCATGATCCACTCATTGGGAAACCTTCAAAAACGTAAACAAAATAATGAGAAAAAGGTAATAGTTAATATACCTAAAACAAAAGTATTAAGCTATAACTTTTTAATCCACTGTATAGCCAATATTAATAAATTATGTGATATAATTTCTTTTATTAACATTTCCAAAAGTGATAATAAGCTAACAAATTAATTACATGGCACTTAACATGTCTCAGGAATCATTCTGTATGCTTTACATACATTAACTTGCTTAAGTCTAATGACATTTAGAATAGGCTATTATCATTCCTACTTCATAAATGAGGAGACTGAGGTGCTAACAGTCTAAGTAATCTGTCCAAAGCCACACAGCTAGTAAAGTACAGGGCTGGGCTCTAGATTCTATGCTCTTAACCTGCCTCACTGTGTGTTTGCCTCTCAGTTACACAGAGGCAAAGGGCCCAGAAAGACCTCTTTCAAAAGACAGGATTTCATCTTGGTTATTAAAACAATCATCTTGAATTTATATAGCAGCTATCACAAAAACTACCCCAATCACTTCTCACGTATTCTCAGAACATTTCTGGGAGGTTAAAAAGACGGGCTCTTCTCCTTTTAATTCACTCTTACTAAGATGAGTCAGATCAAATCCTTTGATAATAAACTACATGGCACCAAAAAAATGCTGGCTACAGAATTATTTATAATTAAGCAGATGGGTAGAAATCACAACCCCAGCTTGCACCTGCTAAGAGCAAAACAGAGCAAAGCCAAGTCACCCTGGTCTCTAAAAGTAGAGCTATAAACTACGAAGTGAAAGGAAATATTCTAAAGAGGACAGAAGAAAAAGAGAAAGCACCCCCACCGAGCAAATATCACACTTAAGAAATGGGGAATACACACGGAACCCCATCCTTTCCATCTTCAAGCTACTGAGTGTGTGTGGATGCCACAGTACTAATGCATGTTAGGGAGATGAGCAGGTTGTCTGGTGTGGATGTTTTGGTGTTTCTATGATACAAATGAGAGAGAAATTGAAAAATGTCCTGACTGATCCATCTGGATAAACTGGTTCAGTGATTATTTTCCAAAGGCTCTCCCATCAAGTAGAATAAAGGGGTGTTAAGATATCAAGACTCAATTCTCCTGCTCCTCTTCTGTTTAGCTTCCAAAGGATACTTTGCCACTTCACTGCCTAACTTACAATGGGGTGTAGGATGGACAAAGAGGCTAATAATGTTTGTAGCATAAAACTGTACAGTACCCTCTCCCCTCCTTCCTTTTGCCATCCTTCCCAAAGTCCCACCTCCTATAACCCTCCAAATGCCACTGACCCCTTCCCCCACAAATCAAGTACAATCTCTTCTGCTTCAACTAGAAGTATCCAACAGTTGGAAAGATTATGAAGAACTACAGAAGATACAGCAACATGCTCCACAAACAAAAAAAGAAACATTAAAAGAAATTGTCTTCCTGTTCCTACCTGCTGACAAAATGAATTGAGAAAGTATCCTATAAAATAAGTTAAGTTGGTTGAATTTACTTTCAGAGTATAACACACTTTCAAATTTTTAATTAACAATTTGTTTTAAATCTTACAAGACTCACAAAATCAGCCCTGGAATTAAAGAATGAAAATTTGTTCTAGAGAATTCCACAGCAATCATGTGAACAGTAAGCATAAAATACTGAACAGAACTTAGAAATATGTTTTTCCAAGTAAACTTTCACTGTTCCAGGACTCATTAGCGAGATCTGACATGTAATTCTCCTTTGTTAAAATCTTGTTATTAAGATTACATTCTGTCTCTTTTTATGTGCAGGTAATAAACACTGAATGACCCACAAATATCACTTTTAATTACAAAATTTTAAGTTTTCAAAAGAGCACAAACTAAAAAAATTATTAAAATCAATTTATCTGTTTCTTGCACCCAAATCTGGAGCTTTCAAATTTGAAGATTACAGATTTTTAAAAATTAAATATCTATATAAATGTAACAAAGAAAACGTAAGTTAATTTTATAAATAAATTTTACTTATAAAATCTAATGCAAACATATATCTTCAATGCAAATCTGATTATATTCATCATGATTTCTGGTTTAAAAACATTACTGGCAATAGTAATATTTTATAATCACACATCCTTATAAAACTGTTTGCTTTACTTTTTAAAATATGATGCCGATCAAGGGCTTATAAACTTCAAATGATTCCAATTAACAGGCGTTCCTAGCCCTTTTCTTTCCACACCAATTCAAATAAGAGAAATTTCTGCCTCATTATTATTAATAAAATAAAACTATTAGTAGCACCCAAAACTACTCACAAAGAATATATATATAGATTTCAATATTATAGAACATACAAAAAACATATTCATATCATTATAAAACACCACCTATAATGGCTTATTTTTTATCATTCCAGTGATCAAAAACTGATCAATATGAAATATTAAAACTTTTTTCATTTCTTTTGCTCCTTAAAAATTTTTTTATTCTGTTCAGTAACTACAGTGAAGCCCAAGTTTTAGAGTTCTCAAATTCTATGCTATTAGGCCCTACCTAAAGTGAAACTGTTTTGTGACAAGAATTTCTGTGGTACCTCAAACTCTTGCAACTCCAAGTGTGGTCCAAGAACTAGCACCATGGGCACCTACTGGAAGCTTGTTAGGAACGCAGAATGCATCAGGCCCTACCCTGACCTACCAGTTCATCAGATTCCCTGGGTCACTGAATGCCTACTAAGGTTTGAGAAGTGCTGCCTTAGACCACTGCATGGAAACTGTATTCTGTTAAAATAAATCAAGTTTCAAACTAAATAAGACCTATTTATAACATACCCTTTAATTCTTTATTTGATCCTAATACTAAAAAATTTATAAATAAAACCATGATCCCTTTGGCTGAGGAAGCACCAAAGAGGACTATAAAAATCTCCTGCCTGAAATTAACTTATTACATATACTAAGGCAATAAATTGCCTAAAATTATGAAGATTAGAGTTAGATGAAATTTTAACACTTCCCTCTGATAATTATTTCTTCTGTTCTACTCTTTTCTTCCTATCTTTTCTATTTTTGGATAAGCATTTATAAAGACACATATTTTCTGTAGTTATCTGATAAGCTGAATGCAAAATTCAATTACCAAAAAGAGACTAACAATGTCCTGATTATATCAACCAAATCTCAACAGGCTTGGCCAGACCTTGCAAGGCACAGCCCAAAGCAGTTGTCTTCCTCATTTTAGCTACATTAGCACAAGAGTTACTGAAAGAGATTTGGAGCACAAAATTGTATTTCTGCCAAAAATTAAGTTGCTAAAGGAACAGAAAGAAACTCGTTTATAAACTAAGTATCTCAGAAAATACCCCTGCTAATTAACTAGTCAACATGGAGAAGACATTAGCCAGCACACAACTGGAACTGGAAATTCAATCACTCTAGTTGTAGAGTTAAGGGAAACTGTTAACTAACAGATTCATATGGGCAAAATCCAATCTAGCAACTAGAATGAAGCTTTTCCTGTATGTTATCCACCAACTAATGAATAGATAGCACTTTCTAGAATAAAGGGAAGAGAATATAATCAAATGCTAGAATTCCTCTCTCCCCTACCCTCAAAAGTTTTCATATTATTAGAGGGCATATCTGAGAAGGACAGTCAACCAAATTTTAGCCTGTCCATTCACATTAAGCCCCAAATCCTATCTATAATCCCACATATCTCACCCATTTACTTGCTGTTGAACTACCCTCTCCCAAATTTGAGTCTACTTTTACCTCAGATCTATCTAAAGGATTCTGAAACACTCTTTAAAACACTATCAGCTATGTTTCAGATCATAAATTTCCAGCCCCTGTGACAACATCTGCAGAACTGTATCAGTAAGAACTGAAAGGAATAATGAGCATTAAACTAAAATGATCCACCTGATGAAACGCTACTCCAGCTATCACCTTTACTTGAAAGAAAAAAATGTCGAAAGATATTTCAAAGACACTGCCTGTAAGCTTTGGTTCCACTGTAATCACCAAAGCAGGATGGTTTACGTTGGGAACAGAGGGACTGACAATCCATCAATGTCATAGCTGGTATTTATTAGCATAACATTTAGTTATATTAAGTGAATAATTTTTAGGAAACTGGTCATAATAACATGTACACAAACCAAAGTGAAAGCCAAAAAGAATAAGAGCAATTCAGAAGCGTTACCGATGATTCTTTTCCTATTTGTCTACAACATAAACATGAACTGTTTAAAAATAGTTCAGAGACTATCTTTGTCATACAAATCTTTTAAGACAAATTTCTTCAGTTGAGCAATTATCACTATTATCTATAAGGTTAAAAGTATAAAGTTTAAAAAGAAGGAGAGTGAAACCCGGGAGCCATTTACACAATTCAACTTAATATTAGCCTCTTTGAAGCCTGGGAACTCTTATCATGTACTGTCTTGTATAAAGGCATTGCTTCTTTCTTCCCCATTAAGAGAGTCAGATATACGATTGACTGATTGATTGATTGACTGACTGACTGACTGACTGACTGATAGACTGACAGAGACAGAGAGACAAACACAGATACAGATAAAGCTGAATGAATGAGGAGAAAGAAAAGTCTAGGAATTTCATAATGCCCTTGAATTAAAAAGTACCTACACATATCTACCCATATCTACCTATGTCAAAGATAGATATAATGCTCCAGAGATTCCAAAGCACATAGTCACTTCATTTATCCCCTGTTGGGAAAAGAGTGGGAAATTATCTCATTCATAACCCATCCCCTATAGCTCCAAATTCCTACAAACTGCTAGCCAGACTGCACAATTTTCCACACACAGAAGGAAGTATAGAAAAATAACAAGCGTCCTCTCCTCAAATACAAGCAAACAAACAAATGAACTATAGTTGTCTTCACTACTGCAAAACTAAATAACTTACCTGTACAACCAAAGATCTATCATTGTGGAAATATTATCTCTTTTCCTTATATCCTGAAGGAGTTGGAGCTATGATCTAGAATAGAGCTTAAGCATCAGGGTTTCAGACTCTCAGCTTCAGCCATGGAGAATACTAGAACTTCCTAAATTCCTTTCTTTAAAATAAAATAATAAAAAACAGAATTAAAGAAGCAAATTAACTTATGCTAATAGATTTTAGCAACATCTTTGATAATTCTTGTTAACTTTGTAGCTTGTAGCCTCAGAGAAACTGGAAAAGAATTTTTAGAAACCAACAAAAACAAACCAAAAATAGCTTGAAATATATTAAATCCTTACAACAACTCAATATTATTTTGAGTCAAAATGTGACTCAGTTCTTTTCTAGAGTCTAAGGCAATATTGTTTTGAGGTGACCCCAAGACTGCCCTCAATAAGATTTCTCATACAGAATTTATAATCTCTTATTCTTATTCTAGAGGCCTTCCCAAATTTTGGCTTTCAAGAATGCAAAACTGGAGACTGACAACAAAAATAATTTAGGTTATGCACCCCAAAGCATAAACCAAGTCTTCTATATCTACATGATAACTTTGATGGTAAAGTGCTACAAGATTCTATCATAAAGGGAAATTCCTATTATTTTGGGCATATGGATTTTCAACGAGGACAAAAATGAGGATTTTCTGGTTTTAGTATCCAGTTGGCTAGATATTTTAGGGGGTTAATCTAAATACAATGCATTTCTTGGACAGTCTAGTTAATCACAGTTTTACTTTATAGTAATGCATTATGATATCCTTTTCAGAGAACCTGGCTAAATGGGTTATTATGAGTTCCTATTTGGAAATAAGGAGGAACACTAGGAAAAAGACTAGCAATGTTTGTGTCAGAAACTGTCACATAAACATAAAACTAGATATTCTAAAAGTGACACTATTTTTGGTAAAGGACTGCCATTTAAAACTGATGCAATTATCAAAGCTTTGTAAACTAGATTTACTGCCTAGTTTTAGTCAACCAGAGGGGCTAATATCTAGTATCTATAGATGCAATCTTCCCCAGATATGTCTAGTAAATTCTCAAAAGCACAAGTAGGAAAATTGTCTAAAAAAATCATTTAATCCCACATTAAAAAATGTTGTAAATTAACATGAGGAGGGTGCGCAGTAAAACATGGTTCTATAAAAAAGTAACTTGACTTGAAATTTCACTTTTCTTGTAACAAGGATTTCAACTGCCAACTCCTTTATACTCAATCCCAAAATCCTTTCACAAACATGGTAAAACATTACAGTCTATAGTGTGTGGTGGTGGCGGCAATCATCAGAGCCAGAGAGGATCCACAATTTTGGATGTGTCTCTGAGTATTCACGGGCATGCCCATTCCAGCACTCTATCGAGTTCCAGACAGTCATATGACTATCCTATTTACTAGAGGAACATCACCCATTATGGTATCTGCCAGACAAGGAGATCTGCAACTGCTATTTTTACAGAAGAACCGATACTTACAGCTGAGTCCTACCAATATGAAGATAAACAGGATCATGCAGATGTGTTTCTTAAAAGCCTAATACACTTAAAAAGAAACTTCAATTACTTCCACTAACTAAAGCCCGCTTGGCCTTAATTAAGATTACATTTTTTTCTTACCTTTTTTAAAGTGTTTCGCCTAGTATTTGATTCCCAAGCGTCTGCATTTATCTGTCATCACTGTTAATGTCCATGTGACATTGAGACTTCAGGTATTAATTATTTATATGGTTGTACTAGCACAACTTGGTATCTGTGAAGGGAAACCACAATATAGTCACTACGGATGTGTTACTATTTACAGATTTGTGGATAAAACTGATAATATTTCTTAACACACAGCACACTGTATTTTCTAAGAAACTTCACAAATAATTCCTTACATTTAGCTACAAAATGTTATTTTCAACAGATTTAACACGAGTTGTTAACACTCTTACAAAGGCTTCTCAGGGTCCTCATATAAAATATTTCAAAATTCAACTCTAAATTAAAATTCTTAACAAATTTTAGAGCTCCTTAGATTCCTTTTCCAATGTATATATCTCATTTTCCAGAAGCCTGTAATTTCTCAGACATTAATTAGAAAAGTACTTTCTTTGTTTTATGGTAATATTAGGGAATAAATCTATAAAGCTTAAGAATGCAGTAAAAAAAAATCATGATTTTCCCCTAAATATGACTTTAAAACATTCGATGTCCTTTAAAGTAATAGCTTTATCTTGTTAGATTATCCCTGTGACTAATTTGTCTATGTTATTTTAATGCAAATAGAAAGTGAATTATGACCAACTAAATCAAGACGTAGCTGTAAAAAATGTTCCTTAAAAGTAAGCTTCTTAAAACATATACTTGGTTACAGAGTATGAGTCTGAGAAACATAATGATGTGCTTACAATGATGACAAAAGCACCATGTAAAACTTTAAGTCACTTCGACCCATTTATTAGTGGAAAAATAAGCTAAAAAATATTCATACACACACATACACACACACACACACACACACACACACTATATCAAAAAAGAAAGCTATCAATGACATTCTAAAATGATGCAACATGGTATACCACTCCAAATTCCTGTATAATAAAAAGAAGTAAAAATCTACATAGAAAATACAGATAGCCTTACACCTGCTTTGTGAATAAAATTTGTTACTGGTATTGTCAACCTGCAGATGTTCTCAGTGAAGTTTCACTAACAATACAGTAGAAAACAAATATGTTAATTATATCTCAGTTTTTTTCATTGGAGAAAAAACACAATAAAGTAGACTGTGATTCAGAAACACTGATACCTATCCTCAAACACTTAATTCTCTATGCATTTGATTTCAAATGTTAAAAAAGTAATGCTATGAAAAATTAACACAAATGTAAGTATTCCCAAACTTAAAAGTTGATATAAACTCTCTTGTAACTAGCAAGGAGTTACACCAGCCAAAACTCTTATATTCCCTAAATTGCATTCTTCATTTCACTCATATACATTTCAAATTTAAGATTCTGCACAAATGTTATGTGCTTTCTGGAGCAGATACACTACTTAGAATTTTGGCAAGCTACAATAGTTTTTAAATTTGAACTATTTAAACATAGAACTTACTTCCATAAGTTTAAAAAACTTAGCTATTCTGTCTTTTAAAAAGCATACAAAACAGAAAACAAATTATTTAAACCCCATTCCTAAGACCTTATTTATTCCTTGCCACAGAGCTTTGCTTGTTTTCACGTACTAACAAAATTCATTGACTATTCAAGTATTCCAAAAGCAAATCCAAAAACCAATCCTGACTGAAAAGAATTACTTTTTCTACTATTTGCAGTCTAACACTAGTACTACTGTGTTAAAAAGATTATAGGATCTCAGATTCATGGCACATATGAAATCACCTCAAAAGACTACAGAAAATCTCATGAGAAAATATCACCAGTTCTAGTGATAAAGCAAAGTTATAAGCCAAACAACTTACTACAAAACTGTGACATCTAAGCTACATGCAGCCTAAATTATTAGACACTGAAATTTCTTCTTTCAGTTTTATAAGACCTTGGGGAAAAACTGAGAACTAAGGTTATACTATATACCCAATTCTTCAGTTGTCATGAGTGGAAATACCAAACGTGCACTCTATCTTTAAATGATTTTAAAAGAAAACAGAGAGAAAATTCAAAGCTGGTTATAAAAAGCATCAAGATAATGGTCAAAGACAAAAAACACCTTTCTTAGACAATTAAGCTTATCACAATTACTTGCTAGAGAGATGAACTGAATTTTCACTTGGTACAAAGTATGACCAAAGAACAACACACTTTCCTGGCCCCCTAAATTGTTTGGAACCACAGGTCCAATGCCTTGGATGACTCCTACTAAAGATTTTAGAGATATGCCTATTTCACAGTCAACAGAAAGGAAGTAGAAAGAGCATCAGATTTGGTGGAAGGAGATGCCTCCTTTGACAATGAGCAAACCATTTTGCACTTCGATGCTTCGTTTCTTCTATCTATAAAGTAAGAGGAGACATAATACGTGCCTACTACTTCTCAGGGTTATTGTGAAGTTCAGTGAGATTATGTCTGTGAAGTACTGTAGCTTATTGGTTTTCAAACTTTAATGTACATAAGAAATTCCTGGAATCAACTGCCCCAGAAATTCAGATTCAGTAGTTCTGGACATGCATGCATGCATCTTTATTTTTAATTAACCACTTCAGGTCATTCCAAATTAGAGGTTCCCAAAAAAATGAGGATCATATTTTGGAAAAAAAAATCTATCACTTTCTTCCAAAACTTTAGTGTTTCTAAGTATTATCCTAGGGACTTGTTTAAAATGCAAATTTCTAAAGCACATCCTTAGAAATTCAGATTCAATAAGTTGGGGCAGGGCACAGAATCCTCATTTTATCAAACACTACAAGTAATTCAGATGTAAATAGCTCATGACCCATTCTTTTAGAAACCCTGCATGAGTCTGTAAACCTACATATTGCTCAAACTGTTCCCCACCTGTCTAGCATCATCATCAATGATCAACTTTAAGGCCTTCACCATCTCTCACTTGAATTAACCCACCTGCCTTGTAATTGGTCCCTCTACTTTAAGTCTTGTCCCTTACAAATGCATGGTCTAGAGACGGATCAAAAATGCACATTTTCTGTCACTTTCTTATCTAAAATCATTCCAAGGAATTTCCACTTCTGGCCAAGACAGGGTAACAGAAATGAGATTTATGTTCCTATCCAAAACAACTAGAAATCTGGACAAAATATATGAAAATGTTTTTCAGATACTGGAAACCAGACAGTGTAGGACAGTGAACAATGAAAGAGAAGAACACAACAACCAGGAAGTGGGGAAATACAAGATTCTTATACTGTATCTGAAGTTGCATAATATAATTTCAAGATACATTGCATTAAGTTAAAGATGTATACTATGAACCCTAAAAGTAAACACTATTTTAAAAAGATAGTTAATAAGCCAACAAAGGAAATAAAATAAAATATAAAAAAGAAAAAACAGTCAACCCAAAAGAAGACAGAGAGAGAAAAGAAAACAAAGGACATATAGGAAAAACTTCTAACAATGGCAAGGTAGTAGATTTAAACTAACTTATCAAATGTAAATGGTTTAAAAACAGTTTAAAAGAAGTTTGGTTATTTGTAAAAGGTTGACTGGAAAGAATAATTAATCAATAACTTTTAAAAGATTCAAGTTATATAAATTGTGACCATGATGGAATAAAATTAGAAATCAATATTAAAAGTCTATCTCAAAAATTCCCACATATCTCAAAATAAATAACATGGTTCTAAATATCCTATGAGTCAAAGACAAAGAGAATTGAAGGGAAAAACTAGAGAAAAGTAGAACTAAATGAAAATAAAAACACAACATATTAACATCTGTGGCTTGCAACAAAACCAGTACTTAACAGGGAAATTTACAGCAGCAAACATATTAGACCAAAAAAGGGGGCAGTGGCAGGAGACTCAGCTCAGTATCAGCGTTCACCTGAAGAAACCAGGGGAAAAAAAGAATGTAATCCATATAAAAAAGAAAGGAAATAATGACAAGTCAATGAAATTGAAAACAGAAAAAGAGAAAAATCAATAAGCCAAAAGATGGTTCTTTAAGAAAAATCAATAAAATGGATAAATCTCTTGTTAAACTGATCAGGAAAAAATATATAAATTATTAATACTAAAAAACAAAGAAGTGATACAACTGTAGATTCTATATTTAAAGATAATTATTCCAACAAGGGTATCAAGACATATCATGGTGGGGGGGAGTAATAATAATCTTTCCAAAAAATGATGCTAAAACAACTGGATAGCCACATGCAAGGGAAAGTTGAACCCCTATTTTGGATCACATTTAAAAAAAAAGAACTCAAAATGAATCAAAGACCAGTATGTAGGAGCTCAAATTATAACAACCTTTGAAGAAAAGTAACTGTAAGTCCTGTTACCTTGGATTAGACAGTGGTCTCTTATATATGACTCTAAAAGCACAAGCAACCAAGGACAAACACTACATAATTCCACTTCCGTTTGGTACCTAGAGTAGTCAAATTCACAGAGGTAGAAAACAGATTAGTGGTTTTCAGGGACTAGAGGAAGAGGAAAATGGAACGTTACTGCTTAATGGATAGTTTCAGTTTTACAAAATCAAAGGAGTTCTGGAGCTGGAAGGTAGTGATGGTTGCCCAACAATGTGAATGTACTTAATGCTAGTAAAAACTTACACTTTAAAAATGGTCAATTTTACAAGGATGCCCTCTGTCACTGTTCCTATTTAACATAGTATTGGAAATCCTAGCCATGGCATCAAGCAAGAAAAAAATAAAAGGTATCCAAATTGGAAAGGAAGAGGTAAAACTGTCACTATGTGCAGACATGATACTCTATGTCAAAACTCTAAAGTCCTTTGGGTTCAGTTAACTGAATTCAGCAAGGTTGCAGAATATAAGACTAATACACAAAAATCTGTTGCATTTCTGTACACTAATAATGAAATATCTGAAAGAAAGTAAAATAAAATACCCAGGAATAAAATGAACCAAGGCAGTGAAAGACATATATACTCTGAAAACTTATACAACATTGATCTACAATGAAGTATCACCTCACACCGGTCGGAATGGCTATCCTCAAAAAGTCTACAAATCAACAAATTTTGGAGAGGATGAGGAGAAAAGGGAACCCTCGTACACTGCTGGTGGGAATGTAAATTGCTGCAGCCACTA